TTTGTTTATCAACCAAATAAGCTTCAATTGCAGTGAGGAGATTAAGTAGGTCAAACTTGATAACTCCATCCAGAAGGCTAATCCAATCTACATGCTTGCATGAATCAGAGGAAATTTTCCCGGTATAAATAAACCTACGACGCATTTATGTTTAAAGTCACAATGAGCCTTAGTATTGATATTTTGATAGTAATGTGTTTTGGTTTACCTGAGCATAATTTCGAAAACATCAGGTGACACATCTTCCAATGTCATTGCATTTTTGTAAATCCCTTCAGACGTCTCTCTATTTCCAGTTATAGTTAAGCTATTTGGCTCTTTTCCAACATGAATCGAAACATCTGCATATTTGCCGTTTTCGTAAAGCTTCTCATAATCTGATGAAAGGCCTGAGGACAAATCAATCACGGCATTTATTTTTATGCAAAGTTTAAAGAATGATTCAATTCTCTTGATATTGATTTTATCGACAATATGTGTAACATCATATCTGATCATATTGTTCGTCGTTATCTTTCAATAAATAATAGAAATTATTACCATATTCACGAGCAATCTGGTTAATAATTTAATCTTTGTTTTTGTTTACGCGAGTTGAATATTGTATCATATTCAAAACTCACGCTAACATATTACTAATAAATCCTTAGAAAGAACTATAAAGGCTTCTAGCTAGGTGTTTACAAAAATCATTCGAACTTAAACCAATCGTTTAGCAAGTCCAGCCAAAAACTATCCATTCAAGAAGTACTCTTAATCGTAAGTCATATCTGTTCTATTTAACTTTATGGGCATTGTCTCTATCGTAAATAGTTGCTGTTATTCTGTTGGAATCTTCGATCAAATCCTTCAATACCGGTTTCTGTAAACCATTGTGAAACAGTTATATCGTTACGTCAGTTTTGAAAGCTTTAATGGGATTTCACATGAACGTCTAGTATGTTGTTGCTTCCCATGATCTAGGAAAATATTACATAATTAAAGATCCACAAATTTATTTAAAAAAGTGAACAATACGCACTTTTGAGCGAGCAAAAGTTGATGTGTGCACCCCCTGACAAAAACCGTTACGAATGAGTTCATCCTTTTTTTCGGTTATATAATTTACATAATTTGCTATGATTCTCAATTTCTTGATTATAATACAGATTTTAATTAATAATAGGTATACGATAGTTTGAATCCGGTTCATGTTTGAAAAGGAACAGAGTTTTGCCATTCAAATTACTGTAATATTACAAGATATGAACTATTGTATAAATGTAGACATACTGCTGTTATTTACATCCTAAAAAGAAAACTCGTAGTCTACTACTAATAATCAAACATACTGTAGCTCAATAATAACATGACATGACTACTTTATTTAATCAGATTGAAATGTGACTAATAATACACCTACTTTTGTAAGCTAACCTTCTGTTAGTTTACGATTAAAATTTTCAAAGATGATAAGAACTAACGAGATAATAGATAAAAAGATTAGGCAAGTTCGGCAGATTTAACGACGTTTGACATAGCTTAACTCTGTAACGTATTTGAAAGTTGATAGAACCTCTTAAGAAATGCGATAGATAATTGTATTAAGGCTATTAATTTACATCACCAACAAAGAACTTAACAATTTAAGGCCTTCTAGATGCGATAGAGTATTGATATATTATAAACAAACATATTTATATTTATATTATTATAATTAGTGTTAAGATACTGTACGACTGTAATTATTATTACCACGTTATGTTATTTATACGAGATCTCGGGACTGCAAGCTCACCATATTAATCTTGCAACCTGTTGTTCTCAATAAAAAATGCCCTAAAAGATTCTGGAATGTTGACGTTTGTAGAGTCATTTTTATTCACTATTTAAACGACTGACATTCCCTTCTTGACTAATTTCCTGCAATCTGCATGAGTCAAATAAGATAAACTTAACTCATAGATATCAATCCCGATGATAGTTTACTTACAAGGACTTTTTCTCCTGCTAAAAAAGTTTTTAGCTTGTAAAGGAGAATCTGCCTTTAAATCTCTAACAACAAAACTCCATTTGTTACCAAAAATTGTATGATTCTCTTGCAACTTTTCTATTTCCCATTCCTCCAGATGACCTTTTTAACTGTAACAAGCAATAAAGTTATGATTGGTATACACATACAATCAGAATACTTGACAAGTGGATACATAAAGTTCTTACAATCCGGATTGACATGATTATGCCATCTAAATATAATAATAATCAAAAAATAAATCTCAGAATTACAGAACAATAAAAAATAGGTTTAATATTAACAATAGAGTAACCCTCACCGATCATAACAGGCTCTACTGTCTCTTCCTGAAACCATGTTTGCAATTTGCGCCCACCTTCCTTTATATTTTTTGTAATAAAGACAAAGCAGCTTATCCTCCTAGAATATTAAGGTGTCTTTAGTAAGCACAGTGAGAAAAATGTGAAATACTGTCAAAAAAGGTACCTCAAATGTCCATCGTCTTCTTCTCCCGTGTGAATCAACCGTTAACAATTTCTCAATATAGACCATTAGATTAAAAGAAATTAGAGATGGACGGTGAAGAAAGAGTGATTTCGAACTATAATTGAATTGAGACTAGCGTGCGTGCGTGCGGTGCGCAGCAAGCAAAAATGTTACGCAAACATACAAACCGGGAAATACAATAAAAGTTGAATTATTGTTTCTTGTATTGTTACTATTATGGCTTAACATGTAACCGAAACTTAGTATTAGTGCATCACTAATTCTAACCGTAACCAGTAAGACAGTTGTTATCATCAACATGCCAATGAGAAACTCTAGTTAGACGTTAGGCTTTCTAACAATAAATTTCCTTACAAACGCAGCCTGACACTCTAAATAGCATAAAGTCACTACATTAATGCAAATAGACAGGTTGTGTACATACGGACATAGAAGCCATCGTCATACTCATAACGCGCGAAAGCACACTTCTTTCTGAAACTTTTGCTATAATATCCAACTTGGTTATTCAAAAATTTAGGAATATTGTATAAACGAGGATACTCGTAATGCTGATATAAACAACTGTAGCGGGCCACGTAGCTGTACCAATAAAGGACCCACTAAATCATAATGTGATATAATTACTAATACTCTGTTTCCTGGTATAGACATATTAAACAATTATTTGCAGAACTGGTTTCTTACTCTTTTCGTCATTACGCACGGTAATGTACTGTAGGTCATAATAAATGTTTAAGAAAAAGAACCAAAGGATTTATAATAATACTATTGCGTGTGATATTATTTTTTAGGTAAACCAACAAAGAAGATGTATCGCGGTTAACCATACAGTTTACGATTATTTCCTTGGTTTAATCGTACGATCGTTCATACATTATTATTTTTCGACAATTTTGGCCTATATTATGCATAACCTGTAAATGTCAATCAAATTTCTTCCTAAGCTAATGCATAACAAAAACGTCTGGATTTACATCGACCTTTACAGAATGTAGTGGCTCCGGAACTCTGAATGTTTCTTCTAATGAATGGGTTTGAGTTAGATGATAAACAGATAGCAACAAAAGACCAGGCATAGTTGTAAGTCAAAGCCACGGAGCCAACGTTAGCTTAAAGACTAGACGTTATTTCTATGAAAATAGCGAAAGTGTAACGTTTGGTAACGATTAAAAATACAATTTGTCTATCTTACTGACAGTTTTGAACATGTAAATTCAGATTTACGTACGGTATTTTATAGTCAAAGAGCACAACCACATCCATATAGTAAACGCAACATATTAGAATACGTTGTGTAATACAGAATACGTAAATAAATTTTTTATGCATTCCACGCGTTTTGTTAGTATTATTCGTAGGCGTGCCACATTACTATCGCAAAGTAAATAAAATTGTTTAGTCTACATTCTCACGTACAGTAGCTGTAATTTTTGTAGTTTACCAGTTTTGGTCTTGCCAAATAATTCGTGACACAGATAACGTTTAAATCAATATCAGATATTAATTTTTTTGTATATTAACAAATTCACTACGCTTCTATTGGAACCCTTAGAATCTCTCCGCAGTGCATTTGCTGTCTTTCTGACAATAGAAAAAGATATTTTGCTCTCCTTTTGATAATTTAAGACCGTGCAGTAATCGTTGTTAATATTGAAAAACAAGTGATGTTAATATTTAATGATGAATGCCGGTCCGGAAGAGCTATGTCTTTTCTAGATGTAGAGGGTGACTGTGAAATGCGCCTCTGCAGACGTGGGGATATGATATAATTGAAGTTGAGACCAGCTCAGTGTACTGGTACTTTTATTACATTTGTCATAGGTTGAGATACTGAGGGCTTGAGTCATTCCGGACATTAAAATTTACCTCCAAATCATTCTTGAGAAGAAATAAAAGAGATTATTGGCAAGTTAAAATGTAAGCTTGAGGTAGTGTAAAAACAGTTGGAGCGTTTTCTGAGTCTGAAAATCATATTTAGCATCCAACATCAGTGATAGATACCAGTCTTTATGGTTCACCCAGAGAAAGTCTTGAAACTGACAAAGTGTCAAGCTGACATGGAGAGGCCTGAAGTGAGCATGGTTATCAGCCAGCGATAACTTGTTCATAGTGTAAGTGGGAAATCTGGGACATGGACAGAGGAGTGCTTTTTTGGAACTCGGTTGCGACAAAATGTGACAGTTTGTTAGCAAACTTAATGGCTCGACTATTTCGCGGGTTATGAGGATATTTTCCATGACAAGATATGGAGGAAGGGAAGTACAATGATAAAAACAACCGAGCATATTCTTAGAACACTAACTAATTTGTTATTTATTTTTCATATAACCCAATATGCCATCTCAGGTAAATATTTGTTGGCACTACTATTTGGCTTTTTTTTTAATAGGCTTTGTTTCTACTGATATATTATGTATCCACTCGCTTATTGTTATTATCTTTAATACAGTAGTAATACGGAGTACATCTTCTACTTAGACAGACAGCTAGTCTTACAATGACAATTAATACCAGAAATTGGGACATAGTACATAGTGCAACGTTGGAAGAGATATTGTTTCTGTCAGCCTTAATTGCTGCACAATCCAGGTTATAACCCAGTCATCTCAGTCCAGAACTAAGACAGATCCCAAACAGGTACAACAAAAAGCTGTTCTTAAAGGTAAAATTCTCAAAATGTCAACTCATTGCTAACATTTACCTTAAATTTGAATTTTACACTGAGAAATTAAAATAATTTAACAAATTCAGAAGTTTTTTTGAAAATCTCTTCAATGTCAAAGAACTCTCTGGTCAAGTGGGTGCTAGAGAAATGACTGGAAGAGTAATGGGAAAATTTATATGGAGTAATACTTTCACTTATTTAATGGAGATGGATGAAGATGGGCATGTGAAGGCAGCCAATGGTAAATGGGTTGTTTTAATAAAATTGACTTGGACCATAGTTTGATTAGATGGATGGGAAAGTCAACTCTAGAGATTAACAGTTAAAACAATTGAATTATCAAATAAACTTTATTAGTCACAATAATGCTCCAAAATTATCACATATATATGACTCTTATACCATCAATGACTTTAATAAATTACTAAATAATCAAATAGGATTAAAGTCTGAAACTGAAAACACCTCCCAATCAACCCAGTCAAAATAATCTGATGAATGCCTAAGTGGAACTTGATATGAACCTTTTTTAGCATAAGGTCTGAAAGAGTTATTACCAAAAGATAAATCATAACCATTCCCAAATCTAGGAAAAGAGCTACTATTATCATTAATAGCATATTCAGTTACATCAACCAAGCTTACTATGCTCTTACTTGTACTTTCATCTAATGCAAATATAAAACTCTCATTAGTATTAACCCAACCTTTATGACCCCATGCAATTGGGTTATAACCACCAAGTATTTCTTCAGTGCCTGACACTTTCCCAACAGCAATTGTTGGTCCTTTGTCATTGCACAATTCTCTAAATTTTGCAGCTGTACCACCATCTTGACTTTTTCGATAAAGTAAAGTAAACTTATAACCACCATCTTGATTCATAGATGCTGTTTGATTTTCTTGAAGTTTTCTTGTTGATTTCACAATCTTTGATGAGATCCATTTCAATTGCTTTTTGTTAATGATGAGTGAATTAATACATCTTAGTGGTAGCATTGTAGTATTTGGTGTATATGTATAATCTTTTTTCATGTGATATTCAAGTACATCATGACGTACTATCCTTGGTAATAGATCTTCAAACAAAAGGAACTTTTCAGCAGACATATTAAAGAATCTTATATGAGGTATACAAGTTTTTATAGTATCTTTGACTGTCTTAATATTATCAGATGACCAATTAGTTGGATCATTTCCAAGTTCTAATTCAGGCACTTGTTTAATGGCCCATTGAACAACTGACAACCAAAGATCATCTTCATCTATACAAAGATCATCATTCTCAAGAAGAGTGATCAAGGTGTCCTTTGGTAAAGTTGCAAGATCATCTGATTTAAAGACAATATCTGGGTGTAAAACCATAAGTCGATTGCAATACCCCAGAAGCCTGTTCAAAGGCGTAATAGACAGAGCATATTTGTGAACTGTGACAATATTCTGTTGAATCCAGCCCTTTTGTTTACCAATCAAATAAGTTTCAATTTCAGTGAGGAGATTAAGTAGGTCAAATTTGATAACTCCATCCAGAAGGCTAATCCAATCCACATGTATGCATGAATCAGAGGAAATTTTCCCAGTATAAATAAACCTATGGATGCATTATATTTAAGTCATAATGAGCCTTAGTATTTATAAGAGCATGAAATTTTGATAATAATGTGTTTGGATGTGAAGTATAATTTCGAAAACATCAGGTGACACATCTTCCAATGTTATTGCATCCTTGTGAATCCCTTCAGACGTCTCTACATTTCCAGTTAAGCTATTCTCAAGGAATGTGCTTCGTGTACATAATACCAGTGCATGAGCGAGAAATATTTTGCTATTTGACTCTTTTCCAACATGAATTGAAACATCTGCATATTTGCCGTTTTCGTAAAGCTTCTCATAATCTGATGAAAGGCCAGAGGACAAATCAACTATGATATTCATTTTACGTATTGCACTTCTTTGATATTGATTTTATCGACGATCTGTGAACGGCAAAATGATCTGATCACTGTGTTCGATTAATTTAGTAGATTTCATGTAGATCTTTGTGCAATTCTAGTATTACGAAAATCATATTTTATTGTTGGTTGGTAAATTGATGCGTTCGTATTTTTGAAGGCGTTGAATTTGACTCCAACTCGGACATCACTATAACACAAGTTTAACAGTTAAAACAATTGAATTATCAAATAAACTTTATTAGTCACAACAATACTCCAAAATTATCACATGTGAATGACTCTTATACCATCAGTGACTTTAATAAATTACAAAATAATCAAATAGGATTAAAGTCTGAAACTGAAAACACCTCCCAATCAGCCCATTCAAAATGATCTGATGAAAGTCTTATTGGAACTTGGTATGAATTTTTTTTAACATAAGGTCTGGAAGAGTTACTACCAAAAGACAAATCACAACTTTGCCCAAATTTAGGAAACCGGGTATTATTATCATCAATAGCATTTTCAGTTACATCAACCAAGCTTACTATGCTCTTATCTGTAATTTTGTCTAATGCAAATATAAAGCTTTTATTAGTATTAACCCAACCTTTATGACCCCATGCAATTGGGTTATAACCACCAAGTATTTCTTCAGTGCCCAATACTCTCCCAACAGCAATTGTTGGTCCTTTGTCATTGCACAATTCTCTAAATTTTGCAACTGTACCACCATCTCGACTTTTTCGATAAAGTAGAGCAAACTTATAGTCACAACCTTGTTTCATAGATGCTGTTTGATTTTCTTGAAGCTGTCTTGTTGATTCTACAATCTTTGATGAGATCCATTTCAATTGCTTTTTGTTAATGATGAGTGAATCAATACATCTTGGTGGTAGCATTGTAGTATTTGGTGTATATGCATAATCTTTTTTCATGTTATAAGCAAGTACATCATGACGTAATGTCCTTGGTAATAGATCTTCAAATAAAAGAAACTTTTCAGCAGACATATTAAAGAATCTTATATGAGGTATACAATCTGCTATAATATCTTTGACTGTGTTAATGTCATTGGATGACCAATTAGCTAGATCATTTCCAAGTTCTAGTTCAGGCACTTGTTTAGCAGCCCATTGCACAACTGACAACCAAATATCATCTTCATCTATACAAAGATCATCATTCTTGAGAAGAGTGATCAAGGTGTCCTTTGGTAAAGTTGCAAAATCATCTGATTTAAAGACAATATCTGGGTGTGAAAGTAGAAGTCGATTGCAATACCCCAGAAGCCCGTTCAAAGGGGTAATAGAGAGAGCATACTTGTGTACTGTGAGAATATTCTGTTGAATCCAGTCCTTTTGTTTATCAATCAAATAAGCTTCAATTGCAGCAAGGAGATCAAGTAGCTCAAACTTGATAACTCCATCCAGAAGGCTAATCCAATCTGCATGCTTGCATAAATTATAGGAAATTTTCCCAGTATAAATAAACCTACGGACGCATTTATGTTTAAGTCACAATGAACCTTAGTATTGACAAGTGCATGATGTTTTGATAATAATGTGTTTTGAAATTGTGGAAGTTTACCTGAGTATAGTTTCGAAAACATCAGGTGACACATCTTCCAATGTCATTGCATCCTTGTGAATCCCTTCAGACGTCTCTGTATTTCCAGTTAAGTTATTCTCAAGGAATGTGCTTCGTGTACATAATACCAGTGCATGAGCAAGAAATATTTTGCTATTTGGCTCTTTTCCAACATGAATTGAAACATCTGCATATTTGCCGTTTTCGTAAAGCTTCTCATAATCTGATGAAAGGCCAGAGGACAAATCAACTATGATATTCATTTTACGTATTGCAAAGTTTAAAGAATGGATTCACTTCTGAGGTTTCACTTCTTTCGATAATCTGTGTAACATCATTATCTGATCATGTTGTTTGTATCTACTGATTACGATAGATTATAAATCTCAATCTTGTACATTGTGCGAACAATTCATAAATATGTTTAGCGCTATTGTTCAATAAACAATGTTTATTGTAAATTATTATCATATTAGCGAGCAATGGTTAAAAAGTTAAATCATTTAGTCTTTATTTGCTTGCACGAGTTAAATGTTGTATGCAACATATTTCTCGTATGAGCGAGCAGATATTGCTAATAAATCCTTACATTCAAGAAAACATTAAAGACCATACATGGTTTCCAATCGTAAGTTTATTGTTGCTCACTGTTATATCTATCTATTCAATTTTATACGCATCTGTCTCCATCGTAAATAGTTGTTATTCTGTTGGAGTCTTCGACCAAATCCTTCAATGTAGAATTTCTGGTTTCCGTATATCTAAGTGTTAAACAGTTATGATATCATGTATATTTCCGTCAATCTTGAAAATGGTGAGTAATCTTCCTGAAGCTTTTAATGGGATTTCACATAAATGCCTAATATATTGTCGCTTCTCATGATATCACTTAATTAAGTAATATACTTTTTTCGTAATTTCGTATCTCATATCATCTCTTTTGATATCATTTTTACACTAAGATATGTGTTCTCTAAAAGGTTAACAGGAAGGACCGATACATAATACACTCTTACATATAGTAACAGAGGCTAAGTAGTGATAGTGAGCCCTCACAAATTATTTAAAAAATGCGGACTTTTTATGTTGACCAACAAACTCACAGCGTGTCTGCTGATCTAACAGCTATAGTCATTCTAATCTGGTTATAACGTTTAACGAACTTTGGCTATAACGAATATCTGTTTATAATGAAGATCGTCTCCAAATCAATTATTAAACTTTGCTATAAAGAGACCTTAGCTATAATGAATTTCTGGTTATGTTATAAGGAATATTTTTTCCAGTTCCGTAGACTTCGTAATAACCAGATTAGACTGTATTACGAATGAGTTCATATTTATCCCTTTTTTTCGGCAAAGGCATGCAAGTAATTTATATCGTTTGTTATAATACAGATTTTGAATTGATAATAAATAATTTTGATATAGATAGTTTTGAGTCCGGTTCATGTTTGAAAAAGAATAGAGTTTTGCCATTCGAATGATTGTAAGATTACAATGTAATGTAAACTATTGCAATCGAGTAATTTTTCGGTAAGTGGATTTGAAGTGGACGTAGTTTCTAAGTAACATCACGTAAGTTACTTAATTAAATTATAACTGTAGACGTGCTGCCGTTATTTACATAAAAGAAAACTCGTAGTCCTGCTACTAATAATAAAAACATACCTACCGTAACTCAATAATAATACGATTTATTGATTGATTTAATCAGACTGAGCCTAGAAAAGTATCTTACATGGAGTATTCAGGGTAGGGTGTTAATGTGACTGATAATATATCTGCTTTCGTAAGCTAGCCTTCTGTGAGTTTACGATTGAAATTTTCCATGACCAACGAGATAATAGACAAAGATTACGATAGATTTGACATAACTGAAACAATTAACTTTGCAGTCGCATCGAAAGTCGAACCTTTTAAGAAATGTGATACATAATTATATTGAGGCTATTAATTTACATCACCAACAAAGAACTTAGAAATTTAAGTAAGAATACAAGACTAGCCTTCTAAATGCGATAGAGCATTGATTTGTCATAAATACATATATTTATTTATAACTAATTCTTATTACCATGCCACGTTATTCGTACTGCGCCAATCATCCGAAAATCACGGACAGCGAGCATCTAACAGCCTGTTGTCCTCAACAAAGAACAATGCCTTAAAAGATTCTGGAATGTCGACCTTTGTAGAGTCATTTTCATTCACTATTCGAACGACTGACATTCTCTTCTTGACCGATTTCCTGCATAAATCAAATAAATAAACAGACACATAGATATCAAATCCCACTGATTAAATATTTGATGATTTACTTACAAAGACCTCTTTTCCGCGTTAAAAAAATTTTTGGCTTGTAAAGGGGACCTGCCCTTTAAATCTCTAACAACAAAACTCCATTTGTTACCAAAAAGCGTATAATTCTCTCTCAACTTTTCTATTTCCCATTTCTTCAGAGGACCCGCTTTAACTGTTAAAAAGCAATAAAGTTTTGATATTGGTATACGCGTATGATCAACAATACTTGATTTGACAGACAGTAAAGTTCCTACTATTCGGGTTGGCATGATTATGCCATCTGAATATAAATCAAAGATAAACTTCAGAATGACAAAGCCATAAAAAGGAGTTTTGACAATAAAGTGACCCTCACCGATTATAACAGGCTCTATTGTCTCTTTTTGGAAACTTTTTTGCAATTTGCGCCCAGCTTCCTTCATATTTTTGGTAATAAAAACGAAGCAGCTTATCCTCCTAGAAGTATTAACGGTATCTTTAGTTAAAACATAGTGAGAAAAGCGGAAAAAATTGTCAAAAAAGTACTAATACCTCACAACTCCATCGTGTTCGCCGTTTAGCCATTTTATTGTGTGACTCAACCGACGTTAACGATTTCTTAATAGTACAGGCCATTAGGCGAAAAGAAGTTAGAGTTGAAGAAAGAGTGACTTTGAAATATAATTGAGACCACAATCTTTTTGTGCGCAGCAAACAGACGTTACGCAAATATACAAACCGGGCACTACAATGAAGTTGAAACCCGAAATTATGAGACACTTTCCAGATACGTGTTCAGAGAGACAAGAAAGCGTGCATACATTCAATTGAATACGTTATAACAGACTTTACAATCTTGGCAAGTCCCTGTTCTACGAATTTCCTTATTCTACATCTGCATTGATACAAGACCACAGAAGGAATTTTTTCTCAAATTTCAATGGTTCATCATAATCACTACCGTCAAATTTAGAAAGTTTGAATTTAAAATACTATGCTGGTATCGGCGAAGTATGCAATATATAATTGAGAGTGACATTAAGTGTGCGAAACTTACTCCCGAACAAATCTTGTTTATTATCCGAGAAGATATAAATTATTGATACGTTAGGAAAATATCATATAAGCAGGAGCTATTCCCCTCGGCTGCTCCAAAAACAACATACAGATCGAACTCCTGTTATGGAGTTTCAATTGAGTTTGTCTTCTGTCCCAAAACAAGTGATAGGCCGGAATGTGATATGTCACAGTCTTAGAACAATAGTTATGCCGTCGAATGGTAATCGTGGATATATTAGTTATGGCATTTTATTGGATATATAACATAATACTCCAACTTCATAAATTGCAACATGCTTTATTAAAGATCGATTGTGTGATTCCCAATTCAGATAAGATCAACTGATAACCAAATTTCCTTATCACCTTTATCTAACATCTGGGTGTAAACTCAGACATACAAGATGAAGAACTGAAGCTTCTACAAAATCGCAATTCATGAAGCCCGCAGCAATTTATGGTATAATTGGTGAAACTTTTACATTTGTGTCAGCGCATAGCCTGTCCTGTCTACATCTGTTTATTGCGTATTCTATATATAATCGTTTCAACTTACTGGAGTCCTTTTTGATACTACAAAAATAAAAGAACGAGTCATGACTATCTCCTTAAAGAACAACTTCTGCATAGTTTACACTACTGTGTGAAAAAAAAAATACATACTGTCTTGATTTTTTACTTCTCAAGACACGATGAACAATTCGAATATCAAAAATATATCAATGAACAATATTGAATAAAATAAGATTTCACGTTCGACTTTGTTCGACTTGTATGAGTTTTGAGAATAAATAGAATGTAGTTTTAAAAAAGTAGCGTATGTCCATGTCTGAAGCGGGGCTGGTGTTTTCTAGTACCGAAAATTTTAGCACAGTTAATACAATACTAATTAAATATCTAAGTATACGATATCCAGCACCATATATTACATAAAAGCGCTCTTTTTTCCGTCAAAAATTATTGAAGGTTACTATTACTCTATTACTACTTAACCTCATGACACAAATTATTGATAGCTTAGTTTTAAAATTCAAAGTTTGAAAATGTGCAAGTTTTTACGGTTTTATAATTTTTATAGTGCAAATTTCGTATGTAGGCTTATAACACTTTATCTACTAACTGTGAATTATCAATAATACAGATTTATTTACAAAGTGCTCCGTTTCGTTAATTATTTTCATAGAAACCACGCACGCGTTGTTCGTGTTCAATGACGAAGTGTCTTTGTCTTCTTTTGTTAGACATATTATTGAGAGAAAAGGAATTGAGTTAAGGAGTAAACTTAGCTCGCAGGAGCTCGCTTTATAAGGGTGGCCAAATGTTATACGACAAATTTATAATAACATTTAAATAGGTAAATGTATTACACAAACATGTAAATATCTGACGTAAATTTAGTGACATGAATCAATATTTTAGCAATAAATAGCTATGGACCATTTAGATTTTAGAATAGCTATACCGCAGTAGCAATTTAGATATATAAACAATCAAAGTTCGA